ACTATACATTTTTGTTATGAAGACAAGACACGATATGCTTGTTGGCCTTTCTTATTCCACTTCTTGTCTAGGATTCTAGTTGACATGGATGAATTAGAAGAGAAAATCATAAATTAATTGAAAAAGATAAGAAATAAGAAGGATTTACGAAAACACGTGTAACTTTTAGCTCGAATGTTATATTTATGCGATCGAGTACATTCCGAAAGCTTTTTAAGATTTTGTACATTTTTGTTGGGTCCCACTAACATCGCCAAACTTCGGGATAAATTTCATCGTTTATGAGTTCGTTTTATCATTTTTCTAGTAATTGTTTTGAGTTTTATTCAAATTTATCTATATGATTTCGTTTTGATTAGAATTCGTTTTAACTCTTTAAATATATGTTAACAATTTGAAAACCTTTCAATTAATAATATTTCATTTTTTCTATTAATTGGTGGATTTCAATATTTTTTATGTTCGTTAGAAATAAATTCGAACAATGCCTGTTTGTATGTTACGAACAAATTTATTATCATCATTATTCACGGTTCAATCCTACATCATTTGTGCTCATCCAAACCCCAATTCCCACTTACTGTAAGGGGGAATGGCCAGTGATCAACATAATCTGCTCCCTTTTTTTTTTTTCCATTTTAATTATTTAACTTTATTATTTTATTTACGCTTTAAGTTTGAAAACTTGAAATATAGATCATGTTTCCCATTCCCGACGTGGGACAATAGATTTTGTTTTCACGTGTCCTGACTCTACCCTATAAGAGGCTGGGCACTTTCAGGATCTAGGTTTTCAAATTTTTTTGACATTTATATAATTGATTATATAATATCACATAACACTTTATCACGTGTCAGTTTAAAATATAATTAATTTTTTGCATCCAATTATTCTTCACCACATCATATTATGTAATTCATTATATACATTTTTTTATGTATGAGTAACAAAATCTAAATTTTATGACTGAATATAATCATTAAATTGTAAAATATTTATTTCTTATTTTACTCGATTAAGTCTACGTTGATACTATGAACTTGATATTGAATGTGATGACAGTCAGTGCCGTTTGACAATTATTATTTGACAACTCTTTTTTTACCTACTTATTTTCAATTACACATTCACCTAATAAAATATTTTGTATATAAATTCAAAATTTTCTCATTTTTTGATCACACATTGTTACATTTTTCTAAAATCACTATTCAAAATATTGTTTTGATCAAATAATAACCATTAAACAAGGGGTCAATTATGATTGTTTATTTTGTGTGGATGGGATTGAGAGTTTGAGTTCCCACTGTCACTGTTACTAAGCTCAACTTTCTAGACTCGTCACTAGAAAGTGAAGAAAAAGTAAATAAATTAACAAAAAAAAAAAAGGGCCTTTATCTCTGCTTGGCTAGTTTAATTTTTAGTTACTTACTATAACCTTTTTTTTTTCCAAGTAATAGCCCTCCTTGGGTAAATAGGGACGGAAAAATGTCACGACCTACCTCGTCCGTTGTTATTGCTGAATGGGATGGGAATTCCTTAGTTGGGTGGGAAATTGGACGGAAAAGGGAACATTTCCGAACTCGCATCGATTTTTATTTTAATATTTTAAAATTGAAATTGTATTTTAATAATGCGTCCGGATGTTCCATATATATCATAATCAACTTTTTAATTTTAAATTACTTTAATTGTAGCAGATAACTTTGGTCCAATCGTTACTCAGTTTAATCAAGAATTTTCATTTAAAAAACGTCGTAACAAAATTGGTCGACTCTTACACTATGTTTGAGCCCTATTTTGTGTAATAAATGAGTTTTGTAATAGTGATTTTTAGTCTCTATTTGTCTACCATTATTGAAGGAAAATGAGTTGAAATAGTGTTTTTTTTTTCACGAATGCGTGGTTAGAAAGTATAATAAAGTTTTAAGTTTATACGCAAAATATTTTATTATGAAAATGTATGGTTTAGAGTGAAGAATTTTTAAAATGATGATAGACAAATAGGGGGGAAGAATGTATGATTAATAAGTAGAATTTTTTTTTAGGTTTACGTGCAAATTATTTTATTGAAAAAAAAATGTGATTGATATAAATTTGAAGAAAAATAATTTTTTTTTTTGAAAATGTACTCGGGCTTAATAAAATAATACACACAACATAATTTAAAAAGGGATTTTCTATTTTTGCTTATTTAAATCAATCTTATCTTGAGTCCACGTCATAATGCGTGAGTAGCACCATGGGAATAGAATGGTGCTTCATGTACCTGACGGGGCACTCACACATGTGGAGTCCATACATAATTTTTTTTAATACATTGTGGGGTGCATCATGTGAGTGACCTGGTGAGGCCATGTGAATTAATTCGGGGAATATGGGCTTCCATATAATTGTCCGTACGATTAAGACAAAAACTGAAAGTGTTACAAATTGTGTCACGGAATCAAGAATAGGGTTGAAGCTATTATAGTGGAACTATAGAATGGAAGTTACGTAGTTTTTTTTTTTTTTTTTCATGTATTTTTATGATCACTTAAAGATTAACGCAAAGTATAGAAGTATATCTCTATCCCCTATCGGACCTTACGATGACTAATACATCGTCAAGTCTATTCCCCTTCTCTCGAATGCATAAAATAAACCACTATACTCACACAATCACATGCATAATAATTGTGGAAACAAATAAGTGAATAAAAGTCATTCAAACCTCAAAACATGTCTTAATTGTCAATAATTGTAAAACTAAAATCCAAAGTTAAATAGCAAAGTTTATCGATCTTCTAGCACAAATAAATCTAGCATAACATGATATTGAAATTGAATAACTAAAAGTGGAACGACATTACCAAAGATTGACGAACGTGATTAATTCTGACTATAAATAAAAGTGGAACGACATCACCAAAGAGTGACGAAACGTGATTAATTCTGACCAAAAATTAATCTTCCGCATCAAAAATAAATCTGCCACATCCGCCTTTTTTTCTTCAATTCTAGTTCTGCGTCTGTCTTTTCTCTCTGCTGCCGGGTTGTCTACATATATGTATAAATTCAGCCCACAGAACTTCCTCTGCCGGCGCGGGTTCCTATGCGTATCAATTCTATTCAGCCAGCCAAAAAAAACCCCAACAATTTCTGTCCTTGCGCATCTCTCCTCTCGTGTGTTCTGTTTGCAGGGTATATATATATAATTAGTGCACCACAAATTTCTTGAATTGAGGCCCATTACTAGAATAAACAAATCAACCGCCAAAACAATTCCACTATAATTAGAATTCCCAATCCAATTGGTAATTGAAATCCTAACCAAATTACAAGTCCATAGGCCCATTAATATTATTTTTCTCCAAATCACCCCATTTTTAGAAAGAATGCAATTTAGTCCTTCAATTTCTATAGTGTAGACTTTAATCTCTAAAATTGTAGATTTTCATCGATTTCAACATCCTTTCTTTTCCAATTGCTTCATACGAGTCCATAACTAAAACAAAAGAAAATTAACTCAAGTTAAGTAAAAATTAATAATTTGACGACATGAAACCCAAGTAATATGACCCAAATAAGTGCATAAAATGCACTTATCATCTCTCAATACTTATATATGGACACAAACTCGCAATACTTTCATTGAAGCAATGACCAACATTGAGAGGGTGCCCTATCTAAGTACCTAATTAAGAATTTATCATAATCTCTGACAACTTTACAAATCTTTTTGTTTTATTATAAAACCATACAAAGATGTGGGGGCAAGCTGCAATTACTGTCTCTTTTCCAAAAAAGTGCACAGAATTGCTTGGAATTTGGTTTACTAAACCAATAAAGCTAAGTCTTGAACAAAACTAATTTTGAAACATAGAGCGTTATAAAGAGGAATTCATAGTCAGGCGATAACTAGACAAGTTATCGCGCTTCAATCAGGCAAGTTTACGAATATATGTATCGATTTTTATATGTTGATTCGTGTATTTATATGACCCTGCAGAAAAAAAAAGTGTATTTGTGTGTTTTTTCTACGTTTTTGAATTGTATTGATATTGTGCGATTCGTAGTATAGGATCGGAGTTCAAAATTTGAATATAATATTCTATTTTGGGTTGATTGTGATGAATTTTGAGAGGTATATATCGATGTAGAGAGTATTTTTTTCATGTGTATTTCTCCGCGTTCTTTAGATTTCGACTTGTATTGGACTTGCGTACGATATTATAGATTTGATCAATTGAGTTAAATATTTGAAATAAAAAAAAATCAATTTATTCTAATTTAAATTGATCTTTGATGAATTTTGATCGTGTAGTCAATTTCCTTACGTGAAAAGCAGTTGAAGTGTCTTAGTGTATCTTTGATTAATAAAATCCCTTACTCTCTAATCGAACAAATTTGGAATTTTGGTCGAAAAATCGGTTCATATATGTATAGGTTAACATTGACAAGTATTCCACCCTAAATGCAAAATTACTTACGTTAAGAGCCAATTTTAGGAAATCTCCTTCTTCAATACTTTCAAGGGAAGAAGTGGGCTAAACAAATTGCTTTACAATCTGATGAGTTGTTTGACAGTAAAGAATCATTTTGTTGTAATTTTATTTGATTTTCCATGCCAATTAGAGAGTAAGTTTGAATTAATTAATTAAGGGTCATTTGTTGTATTTATCGGTTAAAAAATATTTAGACTTCAACCACAATTGGGAAGTCATTTGTTGTATTTATCGGTTAAAAAATATTTAATGTAAGAATAGGACTGAAGTTACTTTTGAAACAATTAGCGTATTTATTTTTATTTATGATCAACGAAAAAATTATTAGGTAATTAAATTTTAAACGCTTAGTCAAACATGTACAATTAGGTTTGATGCATTTATTCGAGCACTAAAATCAATTCCATTTGCTTAACACTTCAAGGTTTCTTGTCATACTGTTATCCAAATCTCATTTTTCATTCTGTTTGTTCGAAACTCCAGAATTCATCTAACGAACAATTCGTTCAGCCATGGAAGAAGAAACACTGACAAGTCATGAAGTACCAATGGTTAAGATCGCCGAGCACGACGAGACTAATGCTGTTACTTCTAAGGTAAGATTTTTCTTTGTGCAATGAACGTTTTGGCCAGTGTTTAATGTCATGATCAATATTTTCAAGACTTAGTGCAACACTTTGCAAGTGTGGATAGAGTTGGTTTTGTAAGGGGCAAAGTGCAAGACTCCCCTGGGTCCATTTTACACACCTTATGGTCTAAAAAATTGGTATGTCCCTAAATTTTAAGTTGAAATACTATATTAGAGTAGTTGCATTTATTTTTTACAATATGCAAGGCAAAACAGCTAAAATTTGATTTCAGTCTTGGGTTTTTTTTGTAGTACCGACCTATTTCATATTGTAATAAGCATTTCAACTAAGCATTTTGATCCATGAAGCATCTTGAAATGCCGTGTTATTGGAGTTCTCTTTCAACTTGGTACGTGTTTCTTTGTTAATGTGAATTTCATTTTAGGTTAAAGTAGAGGACAATGAAACTGCCCTTGATGGTGAATTCATTAAAGTAGAGAAGGAGTCTATTGATACAAAGGATCGTTCCATCACTGCTGAATCAAATTCCACGGCAGATGAAAATCCAGCTGTCGTCGAGCGAAGTTCCAGCAATTCAGCAAGTAGGGAGTTTTTAGAAGCACAAGAAAAGGTTAAAGAACTTGAGCTTGAATTGGAAAAAGTTTCTGGAGTGTTAAAGGAGACCGAATCCCAGAATGTTCATCTGAAGGATGAAATCTTGCATACAAAGGAGAAACAGCAGGAAACTGAAAAGAAATATGAAGAACTTGAACTTAGTCAGAAAAAACTGCAAGAGCAGATTGCAAAAACAGAGGAGAGATATGGTGTACAGCTTAAAACTTTGGAAGAGGCATTACAATCTCAAGAAGAAAAGAACAAAGAGTTGACAAATGTAAAGGAAGCATTTAATGGTCTTAGTCTCGAGCTCGAGAGCTCAAGAAAGAAGATGGAAGAGCTTGAACTAAAGCTGCAAACTTCCGCTGGTGAATCCAGGAAGTTTGAGGAGTTGCATAAGGAAAGTGGTTTGCATGCTGAATCAGAGACAAAGAGGGCTTTAGAACTCAAGAGGTTGCTTGAGTTGGCCGAATCTAGTGCTAAAGAAATGGAAGATCAAATGGCTTCTGTGCAAGTTGAACTGAAAAGCTTGTATGACAAGATAGCTGAAAATCAGAAAGTAGAAGAGGCACTGAAGAGCACCACTGCCGAATTATCTACTGTTCAAGGGGAGTTGGAGCTTTCGAAATCGCAAGTGCAAGAAGTGGAGCAGAGGCTAACATCAAAGGAAGCTCTTATCAATGAATTGACTAAAGAATTGGAATTGAAGAAGGCTTCTGAATCTAAGGCCAAGGAGGACATTGCAGCACTTGAGAATCAGTTTTCATCAACAGAAGAAAACCTTCAAGAGAAGATATCTGATCTAGAAGATTTAAAATTGAAGCTGGGAAACGAGGTGAGTACCAGAGAAGAGCTCGGACAACAATTGAAAAGCCAGGAAACAAGGATTACATCTGTTCAAGATGAACTAGCCAAAGTCCTTAAAGAAAAAGAAGCACTTGAAGCTGCTGTGACTGACCTAACCAATGATGCTACCCAGATCAAGGAGTTATGCAATGATCTTGAGGCTAAGTTGCAACAGTCAGATGAGAATTTCTGCAAAGCTGATTATCTTTTATCCCAAGCATTGGCAAACAATACTGAACTTGAACAGAAGTTGAAAACCCTTGAAGACCTTCACAGCGAGTCTGGAAATGCAGTCACCACAGCTAACCAGAAAAATGTAGAGCTTGAAGACATGGTACGAGCCTTGAGGGAAGCTGCAGAAGAAGCAAAATCACAACTCAGAGAATCTGAGACACGTTGTATAGCAGCAGAGAAAAGGAGTGTTGAGCTTGAACAACTGCTTAATCTGGTAGAACTCAAAAGCAATGATTCTGAAAGAGATTTGAGAGAACTTTCTGAGAAATTGGCTGAACTGAATGCCATACTGAAGAACGAGGTGGAAGAGAAGGAACAATTGAACATCCAATTGCAAGAAAATGAGGACAAAATAACTCAAATTAAATCCGATTTGGGAATATCAACTGCACGGAATTCGGACCTTGAGCTAGAACTCAAGAATGCCATGGAAAAATGTGCCGAGCACGAGGGACGAGCAAATACAACCCATCAGAGAAGCATCGAACTTGAGGATCTAATGCAGACATCACATGTCAAGACAGTGGAGGCCGATAAAAAAGTGAGCGAGTTAGAGCTACTTCTTGAAACAGAGAAATATAGGATCAAGGAACTTGAAGAGCAAATAAGCACGCTAGAGAAGAAATGTGGGGATGTGGAAGAAGAATCCTTGAAAAGCACTGAGAAGATTTCTGAACTTGAAGGACAACTTGAGGCTGTTCAATTGAAAACGTCAAGCCTAGAGGTTGCACTACAAGCTGCCACTGGAAAGGAAAAAGAACTGACCGAGCACTTGCATATGATTGCGGAGGAGAATAGAAATTTAAAAGACGCATCAAAAACCTCAAATGAGAAGCTATCTGAAGCTGAAAATCTTGTTGACATTTTGAGGAATGAATTGAGTATTTCTCAACAGAAATTGGAGAGCATCGAAAATGATCTCGAGGCTGCTGGAATGAGAGAAAATGAAGTTATAGAGAAGCTCAAGTCAGCTGAGGAGCAGTTAGAGGAACAAGGAAGCGTGTTGGAGAAAGCTACCGTGAGAAGCACAGAGCTTGAATCATTACATGAAACTTTAACAAGGGACTCAGAGCAGAAACTCCAAGAAGCATTAGCTAATTTCACCAGCAGAGATTTGGAGGCAAAATCTTTGAACAAGACATTAACAAGTCTTGAAGATCAAGTTAAAAGTTATCAAGGGCAGCTAGCTGAAGCAAATGGAAGATATGCAACCGTGAAAGAGGAGCTTGATCAGATTGTAGTGAAGTTAGCTTCTTCTGAGAATGCAAATGAAGACTTGAAACAAAAGATTTTGGATGCAGAAGGTAAAGCTGAACAGTATGTCGCAGAGAATAAATTGTTAGCTGACACCAACTTGCAGCTCAGTAAACAGGCTAAAGAACTTGAGGAAAAGTTAAATTTGGCTCTTTCTGAGAAGGAAGTCTCTGATAAGCAGCTTGCTTCTCATATGAGCACTATCACTGAATTAACAGAGAGGCACTCAAGAGCATCTGAACTTCAATTGGCAGCTGAAGCCCGCATTTCAGGAGCCGAAGCACAGTTGGAGGAAGCTGTCCTGAAAGTCAATCAAAGAGATTCAGAAGCAAAGGACTTCTATGAGAAGCTAAAAGCTCTAGAAGAACAAGTGAAAACGTATGAAGAAAAGGCTCAGGTAACATCTTCGCTTTTGCAAACTAGAGAAGGAGAACTGGAACAAACTCTGTTGAAATTGAAGGATCTGGAAAGAGAAGTTGAGGAAAAATCAAAGCTTTCTCAAGAACTGGCTTCATATCAGTCCAAGTTAAATGATTTGGAAACCAAATTGTCAACTGTTTCTTCTGAGAAAAATGATACAGTTGAAGAGCTTCAGTCTGCAAAAAAAGATATAGAAGATTTGACACACAAGCTTGCTTCGGAAGGCCAGAGGCTACAATCTCAGGTTAGTCTATGACAATATATCTCAAAAACTTTCCAATCACTCAAATGGTTCTACTATTTTCTCCCTTAGCGTATTTATTCTCGAGTATCTTCTTCTTACAGATATCTTCTGTCATGGAAGAAAACAATTTGCTTAATGAAACAAATCAAAATTCCAAGAAGGAGCTTCAGACAATGATAGTACATCTTGAAGAGCAATTGAAAGATCAAGAATCTAAGTTGGAAATTCTCAACACTGAAGTTGGTCAGAAGGCCGAGTTACAAAGTCGTCTAAAGGAGCTTGAAGAACATTTAGCAATTGCTAAGGCTAGAGTTAAAGCAGAGGTAATGCAAATTTATATGGTTTTGGTACTCGTATTATTTAGCATAGATCTTAGATATCCAAAGTGGCTGTGGAACTCATATTATTTAGTGTAGATATTATACCTTTAGGTCTCTTAGAGCAAAGCCATTTTCCTTCAATATAATGGGCCATTGAATAATCTTACTTAGCCTTTTGAATTTTATTGCCTGAAAACAGAACGAGTCAAGCTCTCAAAAGAAGTTGGAACAAGAAGCTTCTTTGAAGCAATCATTTGAAGAACTTGACGCCAAGAACAAACAAGTCCTACTTTTGGAAAATCAAGTTAAAGAGCTCGAGCAGAAGTTACAGCTAGCAGATTCTAAATTGAAAGAGAAGGTTAGGTTTCATTCTGCCTCCTGTTCACCAGCACATGTATACGGTGTCTACATCTTTGAATATATAAGGGATCGGGAAGGAAAACTGCACACAGATACAGAAACGTGAAATAAAAGAAGTTAGAAAACTATACTCAAGACAGTGTCCCATATTATATGCTTTATTGCTTTGACCCATATATTACCATGGCATGCATGTCTGATAACACACTTGCCATGTGTCTGACCATTTAGAAATTGATAGATTCTTTGACATGGTACCAGTCTCAAGTGAAAATATGAGTCTCTTCTCATATCATTTTTTACAGATAAAATTATTCTTTTTTCTTTTTTCTGAAAATGCACTGATTCAATCTTTTCCCCTAGCATTTACATGAATAGCATTTACACGTAGAAAGACAATCATTCTTCAACCAAATAGCATTGACATGCAGTTAGCTTGGCATACATTATCAACTAATACCATCTTAAACTTAAAAATTCTATAATCCAAACTTTAGGTTTGGAAACTAGAATTTTGTACAAAAAGCCTAAGTAATTATGAGAAGAGAATAAAATTTTTTATTTCACCACTATGTGAAAACGATTAAAGAGCTGCTCACTGCTTCTAAGGCAAGATAGCGTGGCTTCGTTCTTGATGAATCATAACATTTAACTGATAATACCAAAACTTAATAACATTTAACAAATGTGACTTCCATCTAACTAAGGTACTTTAAAACTTTATATATACAAAAGTTGAGTTTTCATCAAAATTTTCATATATCTGAATTGTAATGCAGGATGTTACCTCAACAAGGGAGGAAATAGAGGTGAAAAGTCGAGAAATCGAACCTTCAACTTCTACCCCAACAAAAAGGAAGAGTAAGAAAAAATCAGAGCCATCTTCTGCTCAAACAACGTCCTCAGATACACATGTCAAGACTGCTGAGGTATCCCCAGCCACGACTTTTAAAGTCGTTCTGGGAGTGGCGCTAATTTCAGTGATTGTTGGCATTATTCTTGGAAAAAGATACTAAGGCTTTCAAGTTTTTCAGTTTTGCCATTTGCATTTTTTTTTTATCAGTTTGTTTTATTATACTAAAAACATGTAAGGTGGTTTGCTTGTGAATGCATTTATTTTGGGGCTTCTTGTTGGTGTCAGGCTGTTGGTTTTCAGTTAAATCCTGACCTGTACTTATAAGAGGAAATGAAGAAGAAAAATAAATATTTATTGCAATCAAGTTTTTAATCAAGCTTTTACCTTTTGGTATCAATTATACTTATGTCCTGTTGTCTAGAATCTAGATTGTAGCAATGCAAGCGTACTAATATTTCAATCACGCTACTTGTACACATTCTCCTCTACAATAAGTTTATACTCTTCCGCATGGAATCCATCATAGCCATTGATTTCTACAACACCCTATCACATCCCTTGATACATAGGTGAAATGTTAACAACAATGTCAAGAAAAATGTACATGTAGGATTTTGGGGGCTCCAATATCCAATTTCCGGGCTCAGTTTACCACCAAACGACACCAACCAACTCAAGCTCGACCCACAACTCACACACTCCGGTTGCCACTAGTTTTCTTACCCACAAAGGGTAAACATGGTGGTGGTGATTTGAAGCCACAAAGGCAAGGGAAAGGGGGCACCACAAAGGAGACAAGGAAGAGACCAATACACAAAATATATTACCGGATTTTAGAGCACCAAGCTGGTCGGAATTTTCTCTTGAGGCTGCCAGTTTTTCCTCCACCAAGGAGCAGCCGTTTTCCCCCCTTCAACCCTCTCAAATCACCCACCATATTAACCAAGGAAATAGATACATATAGGATGGGTATTAGGTCACACAAAATTGGGCCAAGACATCTATTGGGCCACCAATAAAGACCACAACTATCCAACAATAAATGGGCTAAGAAATCACCATCCAACCTAATAACTTGGACCATCCACGAGTGTTGGGCCACGAGCAACATTAACCCAATTAAGTTGCTTCTAGTGGCCCCAAGTTGTTTTCGAGTCGAGCCATCGCTAATGTGTCGATATAATTTATCCAGAAACGGTTTTACATCATCGCCCGGATTTATTGGGTATCAAAAACCCAACAAATCTTCACCTTGATCCCAATAAAACTGCAAGCAACAAAAACACACAGTTCATACTTGCACAATCAAGGCAACCAATAAAATTGGTATCACAGACCTTACTTCGTGTTTCGAACCCGAAACACATACCATACCTGCTTCATGTACTTACTAGGGCTAAGATCAAGAACATCCAAGTAGAAGCAAATAATCACAGCAATCAATCAAGAGCAAATAAACATGCGACAGAGATATCATATAGGATAACACGGATCTTTTCAACCATGTTCATACAGAACAACAGATTAACACCAAGTCAATCAACAGGCCAACACATACGCAACAAATGCATAAATGACCTCACGAAGAAGATCTCACCACACTTATCCTATCCCATCCCGTGTTGCTCACTCCTCGAGAACACA